AAAGAAATTCATTATTTAAACCAGGTCAAAGTTCCTCTAGGTCAAAGATTAATCATATCACTCCTTGAACTTACACCATCGCCAGAAAAAGTAGTTTTCTTTTCAAACTACACATGTTTATTAGGTGCACACAGACTAAATCTGACAATGATGAATAGATCATAGTATGAGAGATAAATTGACGGAATTATGATGAAACCGCCCTTTAGTTACAGAAATGAGCAGCCCGCTGATTCCTCAACTACGGGCCATTATAACTAAAATACATGGAATTATCATGAAACGGCCCTCCCATTATCAGAAATTTGCGGGCCGCTGCAAATGATATTGGACCGCTCAACCTTAACGACGGGCCACTATCAGTTCTGTTGTCAAGTGACGTAATAGTGGGTGCGTGGGCTTACAGTTCATTCGACATTGGCTTTGGGCTGGCAGATATTCTGGGTCAAACAAGTCACAGCAACCCGAATTCCCGCTTTAAATAGCGGTAATATTGGCTTTCTTGCTGGTGCGAATATCAGCAATTGCACTATTAACGTTGTTGTTGGACCAAAACCGAACACTGACATAGTTTGACATGTTGCAGGCTATGGTCTTGTCAAAGGCCAAGGTTGAATATCGTCACTTTCTGTTGTTACGTCACTTAAATTGTTCGATGACGAAATTGCATTCGGGCAGTCAACCCCGTCAGAAGTTGGTTTTGAATAAACCTACAGTCAAATTCCTTTATTGTTTCCTTTTTCTTTTCAACACAAATTCTATGTATTTTAGCAATAATAACGGTAATGCTATTTTCGAGGGCATTATCATTTGCAGAAGCCCTCGGTCTTTTTCAACTGCCCTCCTTCGTCGGGCAGTTAATGGAAGACCTCTGGCTTCTGCAAATGATAATGCCCTCAAAAATAGCATTACCCTTATATTATCAGTTCTGTTGTCAAATAACGTCACAGCAGGTGACGTCACGCTTTTAATGACGTCACAATCTTGTTTCATGATTTAACAGTGTTGGGTCAACAGCCCGTTCCGAGTAAGTAACTTAAAATTAAATTATTGACACTGTTTTGTCCAAGACTCTTTTAACACAAATTCCACCCATTTTAGCTGGATAGGGGAGTTAACTGACCAATGGCTTCTGCAAATGACAATGTCCTGCAAACCAGCGTTACCCCAATAGTGTAGGGATACATTCAAAGGTTTTGGTGACTCGGTTTTCAAATTGCAGCCGTATATGCTGATTATATCACTGACCAATCAGAACTCGTGTTACATAATAAGTTGAATTAGAATAACTGTTTTCTTCCAAGTTCCAGTTGCACGACGCCGTGACAGACTCAGCATATCACAAAATAGCTTAATTGACTTACAACAAATAACGACTTTCAGCCACTTTTTTATCACTGAAATGTACAGCAACACACTGTAAACCTTTTTACCTCGACCATGTGCACGTGCTCAACATGAAATCGCTTGCAAGCAATCGGCGTTTGCACGAAATTCACAGGACGTTGTGAATGGAATAATGATTTTCTAAATCCATATACAATCACTCAACTTGAATCCGAAATTATATCACTCAAATGGAATGTCAGCTGCTTGCTTAAAGAATATGGACAGCATTGTTGACATCACTGCTTGGGACTGATGGTCACAAGTGGCGTGTTCACCTACAAAATTCGAGATTTATGAAGGGCCTTTCGTTGATTCATTATAGGCATAAATGTTTGATGCCAGTACTCAGAAACATTCTGAAATGTATTTCTGCTAAATGTTCAAAAACATTGAAACATTCCTTTATTTCACTCTCTAATTCCTGCCAGGATTCTCTTTCTGTTACAATTCTAAAAATAGTGGGCCAGTACGTACACGAAATGTTCTAAGGTCGATATCATGCCTGTTAATGGCCATTTGGTCATCACCTTTGTACATCATATTATAAAGTTGTGCTGGTCTTATTGTTCATGAAGTTTTCTTTCCATGAACTCACCCTGAAGGAAAGAAATTTCACGTCTTTTTCATTAACTGCAATCAGTCTGATATTATGTTTACAACTACATATAGTGTTGGCTATGAAACTACTAGGTCAATATTTTTCATGTTGAAGAATTGCAAGACATATGGATATATTTCTTGTAAACTCTCCCATTAAAAAAGGGTCTACACTTTACAAAATCCTTTTCTCCGTGTCAGCAAGACATCATTCCCAAACAAACCAGTGTTGTCCATTTCGTTTTATATCTTCTAATTAGCTTATCTGGCCGTTAGAGCCGGAACTCAACTGCCTCTACGTGGCTGATTATTTAGAAAAGTAATCTTGTAGTTTATACCTGTAATGAAATATTGGTCCATTGTTGATTCACAAATGCATTTCTTACTAAACTATACTGTCAACTGACATGTTTCTATCTAGTCCCGCAGAAACAAAATACATGGAAGTCAAATGTGTCAATCAATATTATCGTAAAATGGATGCAACCCATCATATATTTTATCCAAATCATATTTTTTGGAGACTGATGACGTCACAGGAAAAGTCATTGGTCGTACAATTTGGAATATCAGAGCACGTTGTCTTATTACTTTCGCAAAGAAGATGAAACACAGGAATGAAAGCATTCACTTCAAATGCACCTCCAGTTTGAATAACGTAAATAAACAACCTCTGATGTGGGGACAGCGTGTTGTGTACACGTGTACATTATCCAGTGTTTTTTCTGAACTGTTGCTAAATGAAGACGTGAACGAAGTTTGACAAAGTTTAGTGCGAGGGTTGTAAGCAAAGAATCGCACGTTGGTCAATGCTGCCTCCACTGCACACGTCAAGCGGGAAGAAAGTTTCTTCGATGCTTCGTTGATCTGAGTTTCCTTCCTCTCTGAATTATCCTCCTGACAGAACACCTTCTGTACCGACTGCATACTTAGCTCAGCTGCGCAGAGCCTCCAGCTAACTAGAGCAATTAAGAGAGGCACCAACTTGTTATATGACCTCCACGTAACTCGATGCTCCTCGGAAAACATACCTAGTTGTACAGAGGAATAGGTATTTAGATACTTGCAATAGAACTCGGCTGTTGATGGATCACAATCCTTTTCTAAAGTGTACAGATGGGTCACAAAGTCACAAGGCTCATGCTGTGTAGCAAAGGTGATACCCACTTATTCTACTGGAATATAACTGGCAATTTCAATACATTTTTAAAACCAGATTCTCGTAAAGGGGACGATTAGTGAAAAAAAATTAAGTGAAGATAGCCGTTTATTTATATCAGCTCCTCTCACATTATCATTCTCAATATCATATTCTGGGACGGTTATCTTAGAATTAAACGTATTTTCGACGATATTAACCGCCAGATACCCGTTAGTGTGGTCTTTTGATGTGCGTACATCAGAATATTTTGTTCTTTAGCCTGAAAATATTGTTTTCAGCAGCCTGAAAGTGGAAAGAAAATAGCTGTACAAAGTATTAGGCATAAATTACGCCACAGTTTGAATGGTGTTTTTGCTGTGGAGATACAATTGTTTCACCCATGTAGAACTGTAAAGAGACACATACGATTGTAAAAAATAGCTTTTGCAGACAAAAACAATATGTTGAAATGTTTTGCTGCCAGCAGAGAAAGAGTAACAGAACCCATATTTGGTCACAGAAGAAAACAAACAAATACCATATTTTGCACAATCTCGTGTTGGACGTTGTTCGCTGGCAACACGCATACAATGATTCAGGTGTGACATTACTCAAGATTTTCCACTGCTCATGGACCCATGTGTCTCAGTCTCACGCAGAAAGAAAGACATTTGCAGGCTTTGACAGTCCTTGATCACAGGTCGGCAAGGGGCGGTAGGGTAGCCTTTTGGTTAAAGCGTTCACTCGCCACGCTGGAAAAAAACCGGGTTCGACTCCCCACTTGTGTACAATGTGTGAAGCTCATTTCTGGTGTCCCCTGCCGTGATGTTGCTGGAATATTGCTAAAAGCGGTACAAAAATAAACTCACTCACAGGTCGGCGAGGAGAGTAGTGTAGACAATGATGGTACGGGACAGGTCCCCCCGAGATCTCAATTTAAAAAATTGAGTCCTTGGGGAGGCCCTAATCCTGTACCATCATTGTATATACTACTACTGAGTTGCAAGTAGTACAAGTTCGGTTCGCCATCTTTGATGTCGACCAAGTCTACGTTGTACGTTTTCATGGACCATATCGGATCTGTGGCGCGTTTTCTGCTGTCTCCCTCCTATTCTCCCGGCTGGTACAAGTACCTAAAGCTGAACCGGGTCCGGTAATGTTTTCTCCATTTTATCGCGACGTGCCGCTGACGACGATGATTCGACAGATTTCATTTTGATGGCTTCGACAGGTCTCTTGCCCACAAGTCTGGTGACTTCGTTGTTGATGGCATCCACCACTTGAGGTAAGCATATGACCCATTCCGTGTTTCTGTTTTGGGGATCCATTAAATCCCGCGAGTACTGGTGCGAGAACAGGCGTTCGGCTAAGGTGCGATTGAATCTCTCGACTATGGCTTGGCTACGGTGAGCTCCGCTATACCTCGTCTCACTTGGACTTTGTGCTTGGCCAGCAGCTGTGACACGGCTCCCATGAACTCGCGTCCGGGATCGACTTCCAATACGGTAGACCATGTCAAACGACTGCGTTTGTATATGCGTTCAAAGGCTTTGGCGACCTCGTTCGAATCTTTTGTTGTCAACGGTTTGGCTTCCTTGTAGCGACTGGCGACGTTGACAACAGTTATAAGGATCTCATTTTCGCTAGGGCTACCCATTTTTTCAGCAACCACCAACCCCATTTTCGATCTGATACCTGTCTGGCTGGGTCAAAATCTGCCACTCGCCCATATCGAAGACGAAAGACGATCGAGAAGTCAAGTTGCTGCTTCCAAGAGCGGGAATAGCTTCTATCGAGAATAGATATTATTTTTCTCCCCTAGTGCATGTGGAAGGGGTGCACGAAGGTGTGGACCATGGAAACTGGTTTGGACGTCTTCTACTCTTCGTGGACTGGTGTGCTGTGCTTCCAGGTCTTGTGAACGACCTTCCAGAGGAATACGGCAAATAGCGAAATGTAGCCCCCTTTCGATTCCACTATCTGCCACATTTCTGGATATCGAAATTGGTCTCCATTTCCTCACGGAGGAGCTTGGAATCGTCGTCGTCGTCGATGTCCAGCCTAGACAAGACTTCGACCAACATATTCGTGGTTTGCCTCGCATGAGTCTCGATCTTCCCCAGGCGGTTGTTGAAGTCCTGGATGGTTGGCAATGTACTACCGGGTATAGCTACTTTCGATCTATCTCGAGTCACCTTTTGTGACAATGGTTTGACGACCGGCAATGATACTTGGACTTGGTCTTGTGACAGTTCATTTTTCAGGGGCATGTTGAATTTTTCCTATATTTTTATACTTCCTAAATGTCTATATGGAAATCCCAATCCTATCCCAATACTCTCCCATTTTTTCCTTGGAAGGCCGGTTTTTCCTCCATCCCACTGCAAACCCAGGAAATCCAGTGGGACAAAAAGTACCTCACAATTCCAGGAATGTGCTTTTGTTTGCTAGATTTGCTACGATTTGCTGTACAATTTGCTACGATTTGCTGTACATTTTGTTAGCAAAAACAAGCACATTAGGAAATCGTAGCAAATTGATGACGACTACATCCTACATCAAGGCAATGAAGTGATGCAGGAAAAGCGAGGATGTTGGTAATGGATGCATCCTACATATAGGTGATGATTGTATGCTAAATGATGATTGTGATTGTGATGATTGTATGCTAGATGTTGAGGTGAGTGTTAGTAGATGTCGCAGTGAGTGTAAAGTAGAGGTCGCGGTGAGTGTAAAGTGGATGTAAGAGGTGAGTGTAAAGTATATGTAAGAGGTGAGTGTAAAGTAGATGTAAGAGGTGAATGTAAAGTAGATGTAGGAAGTGAGTGTAAAGTAGATGTAAGAGGTGAGTGTAAAGTAGGTGTAAGAGGTGAGCGTAAAGTAGATGTCGAGGTGAGTGTAAAGTAGATGTAAGAGGTGAGTGTTAAGTTAGATGTCGAGATGAGTGTAAAGCAGATGTAGCAGGTGAGTGTAAAGAGGATGTAAGAGGTGTGGAAAGCATATGTAAGAGGTGGGCGTAAAGTACATGTCGAGGTGAGTGTAAAGTAGATGTAAGAGGTGAGTGTTAAGTTAGATTTCGAGATGAATGTAAAACATATGTTGGAGGTGAATGTAAAACATATGTTGGAGGTGAATGTAAAACATATGTTGGAGGTGAATGTAAAACATATGCTTGAGATGAATGTAAAACATATGTTGGAGGTAAGTGTAAAGAATATGAGGGAGGTGAATGTAAAACATATGTTGGAGGTGAATGTAAAACATATGTGGAGGTGAATGTAAAACGTGTTGGAGGTGAATGTAAAACATATGTTTGAGGTAAGTGTAAAGCATATGTGGGAGGTGAATGTAAAGCATGTGTTGGAGGTGAATGTAAAACATATGTTGGAGGTAAGTGTAAAGCATATGTGGGAGGTGAATGTAAAACATGTCTTGAAGGTGAATGTAAAACATATGTTGGAGGTAAGTGTAAAGCATATGTGGGAGGTGAATTTTAAACATGTGTTGGAGGTAAGTGTAAAGCATATGTGGGAGGTGAATGTAAAACATGTGTTGGAGGTAAGTGTAAAGCATATGTGGGAGCTGAGTGTAAATGTAGGAGCCGCGTGTGCACAAAATATGGCGCACACATTATATTTTCTTTCAGGATTCACCGGAAAGCATATACGTTTGCCCAACAACGACTCGTCCAGCTGTGTGGATACATCTTGAGGTTATTTGACACATCGTAGTAGGGTACCATCTGTGTAGCCGATTATCAACAAACTGTCTCCTCACTCTGACAGCATTAGCTCTGTGAAGTTTATCTCCAATTTGTGATAGTCATGGCGTCACGCCGTAGGGAAGCTGCAAAGGTTCTTTTAGATGTTATTTTAGATTTAGTTAACTTTAAAAAAATATATATATTATTTTTATTCCCCTTTTTTGTTGTACAGCAAATCATATTTGTCATAATATGTCATTTAACATATGTTTCATTGGAAACAAACTGATGATGGCAACTGGACCAATGTCATATATTGAGAAACAAAGTTCAATCGAAAAGGGTAACTGAATAGAATGGTTCAAACAACCAGCTTATGGCAACTGGACCAATGCTATACCTCGAGAAACAAAGTTTCATCGAGAAGGGTAATTGAAAAGAATGGTTCAAACAAACAGCTTATGGCAATTGGACCAATGTTAAACACCGATAAACGAAGTTTCATCGAAAAGGGTAATTGAATAAATTGGTTCATAAACAAACTGCTTATGGCAACTGGACCAATGTCATATGTCGAGAAACAAAGTTTCATTGAAAAGGGTAATTGAATAGAATGGTTCAAACAAACAGTTTATGGCAACTGGACCAAAATTTAACAAATTTGCTGTAATCACAGTTAAAGTAAGCTATGGCTTTTGTTATGTTATAGTAATTTGTTAACTCTCTCTGGATCGAATCAAAGGAAAGTTTTCCTCGTTTAAGATAAACTTTGAAAATTGTGTTTTTTATTACGAGACAGATTACGTTTTTAGGGGTCATTCCATTTTGAAGGAAAGCCCAACAGAATTGTTTCTTTAGTAAACTGTATATTGATTTCCGCCTTGCTGTTTATCCAGTTTTGGACTTCAATCCAGACTGAGTTCACAATTTCACAATTCCATAAAACATGACAAATATCTGCTATGAACATATCAAAAGTTGTACAAACAGGAGAGTTTAAGTATTCAATCTTAAATAAATATTTTCCAACTGGAAGGATTCGGTTAATAATTCTATTTTGAAACCACCGTAATTGAACACTATCAGCTGATCGAAATGGAATTTCGTTAATATTCCTCCATTCCATATCTATATATTGTTTTACTATATCTTTCTCCCATTGTTGATTGGCTGAAGTCTTCTGAAACTTGGATCTTAATAAAACATTATAGTAGTATTTTGAGCCCTTTGGGCTATTCAGGAGCAAACGAATATAAAAATGGCAACACTGGTTCTGTTAATGGGGTAGTATCATCAGAATCAAGCTTATTTAAATATTCATTCAATGCATTTTTTACCCCGTAAAATGTTAAATAATTACAGGAAATATTGTACTTATTGAAATCAAGGTATGAAAGAATTTGGCCATCCTGATCTATCAAATCGTTGATATATTTTCCTCCGGCTTCATCCCATTGTTTAATAAATATACATTTTTATCAATCTTAACATTATTGTTATACCATATAATATACTGTGAGTACTCATCCTTTCGTGTTTTGATATGTTTGTTCAGGAATAGAGCCCAGGACGATAAAACATCTCGCCAGAAGGGATTTATTATGTTGTTAATGATATTATCTCTTATATAGATTGCATCCATTTCTAAAATATTACTAGGAATAGTATTTGATTCGTAAAGAGATAATTTGTGTATTGTGTTCGAGAAGGTCAATCGTCTAAGACATGCAATCTTTTGAGACGCAATAACATCCCTTACAAGTGGAGTTTTGAAACCCCGTCCGGAATGTTGCATATTACCCTGTTCGTTTTAATCATATCGGGTTTTTCGTTCCAAATAAACCGAAAGCAGTTTGCTTGAACATTTTGTATTACAGTTTCGGGTGGTGTAGGAACGGTAGAAAATAAAAGATTAAGTTTTGGTAACAATAAGGATTTTAGCACTGTGTTAAGTCCAAACGGCGTTAACGTTCTACATTTCCATATTTTCATTAATATTTCAGTACCATCTAACATTAAGGAAGTATCATCTGCAAACTGCGCTAATAGATGCTCGATAGAACAAATCTTTAATCCTCTGATAGATTTATTGCTTTTAAGTAATCTGGTTAACATTTTAGTGCATACTATGAAAATATATGTTCTTGCTAACTTTCCCATTACTGGGTGAGGTGAAATTGGGTTTAACGTCGTGCTTGAGAATATTTTGCTCATATGACGACGTGCATGCGTGTGTATGTGTATGTGCGGCTGCTTGTACTAGCCCAGCCTAGCTGGTTTTATAGTGCTAGCCCACTGAGATACCATGCCGCAGTGAAGCATGAATACCCCACTCAGACACATTATACTGACTCCGAGCCGACCAGTCCTTGTTGTACCCATTAATGCCCAGCACAAGGCAGGGACCAACAAGTACCATATTTTAACGTCTTTTGGTATGACGCTGTCGGGGATCGAACCCGCGACCTTCCGCTCTCCGGGCGGACGCTCTAACCACTACACCACGGAGGCGGTCTTCCCATTACTAAATGGTCTGCACATTACAACATCTATACTTTCTCTGTCTGTCCTCTCTATCAATATATCTGACTTCTAATCAGTCGATGGTGAGGGTAAAACGTGGGACATGAGTGTATAGCATATGTTTGAGGTGAATGTAAAACATACGTGTGTATAATATGTAAAAAGTTAATGCAAAGTAGATTCTGAGGTGAGTGTAATGCAAATGTAGGAGGTGAGTGTTAAGCATATGTGGTTTTGAATGTAAAGTAGATGTGGGAGGTCAATGTAAAGCAGATTTTGATTTCTACTTGAGACTCACCTCAAATTTGCGTTACATGTACCTCCCACGTATGCTTTACATTCAGCTCCTACATCTGTTGTACAATCATCTCCACATATGCTTTACATTCAAATCCTACATATCTTGTACATTCACCTCCCACATCTACTCAACACTCATCACAAAATCTGCTTTACTTTCACCTCCCGCATATGCTTTATGTTCACCCTCATGCTGTTGATCACTGGGTTGTCTGGTCAAGACTCGATTATTTACAGACCGCCGCCATATAACTGGAATATTGCTGGGTGCGGCGTAAAACTAAACTCACTCACTCACTCACTCACTCATTATGTTCACCTCACACATCTAATTTGCTCTCACCTCCTGCGTACGCTTTACACTCACCACTACATATGCTTTGCATTCAACTCCCACGTAAGCTTTACACTCATCACCACATATTAGTTACATTCACCTCCCACATATCCTTTGAATTCCTCTCCTATATACTAGTATGTTATACACTCAGCTCCCACATACACTTTACCCTCACCTGCTACATGTGCTTTACCTTCACCTCCAGTATATGCTTTACATTCACCACCCACCTCACACTAATACAACTTCTTTAGTTTGTTGAACTGAATGCTAAAACAAGCTATATCGTGTATTTTGTTATTGAGCTACAATGTTTACTTGTTGATTATGGTAAGGCACAGATATATAATATGTGTTATCACTCGCCGTTTCTCATAATCTCAGTTTTTTGCCTGGCCGAGATTATTACGGTAATTTACAGGCACCAGTGATACAGGGATATTATTGACACTGATGCTGAGGAAAATCATAGTGCACTCACTTTCTCACACGTAAACGCATAACACGAACGAAGCCAGTGACAATGTGTCGGAGGTTTGAGGGCTTCTCCTAGTTTCCCCAGTGTGTCTACACATATTTCACAGAAACACTTCCATGGTGGGCTTCAGCTTGACACATTACACCTGGCGAATATATGTAAGTAGGTTTTTCACTAAAAATAGTTTTTTTTTGTATCAAGCAGAAGTAATGACAATATCAACAATGACAATACTTTATTGCCCCAAAAGGAATTCTTTTTACGTTTGAAAGTGGTCACATGATTAAATATTAAAAATGACATAAAGGTTAAGAAAACACAAACAACACTATAGACAGACAAAGTTAAATCATTTCAAAGTCAAATACTTGCTGAAATAGAATAATTTTGAACTCTTTTTGTTTTAAAACGGAGCATTTGGTATAGGCGGCCTGAAGGTAAAAGATTATCTTAAGAAATAAAACATGGCTGGAATCAGATAAAATTCATGAAAAGTGATACCGGTAAACTCCGAAGTGCGATAATGTGAATTGTAGCTATCAGATACACAAGTTACACGATAAGGGAGTTTTTACGAGTCTTATCTTTCAAGAAGACAGCAATACTGATAAAGTTATGTATATGAATTCATAACAGATAAGCAAAGAAAATATAACCTGGTGAATTGACTGCTTTAACCAACAATACCGTGGAATGTGTTATTGACCTACAATGTCCCAAGATGGGACTGAACTAACTCAATTCAGTCTCAATTGATGTAATGTGATCGTACTAAGTACTTCCCTCGACAGCTCAGATGTCGTAACAATGGATTCAAATTTTTAAAATGTGAATTTATCTCTAAATTAGTCGACTGGTATTGGTCGTAGCTGAACTAACTTAACTAACATGTATACCATGTATTATAATCATGAACATGTATACACGTCGTTCACGTGGTTTCCTTTATTAACCACACAACCCACGAACTCAACCATAAGCTATTTTAAAGTTACAGACCCAGAATGTCAACCGACATCAAAGTACGATGACCTATATCTAGATCTCGTGACAGGACTTTGACCTACCTACCTACCTACCTACCTACCTACCTACCTACCTACCTACCTACCTACCTACCTACCTACCTACCTACCTACCTACCTAAGTAGTCTTGCTTCATATCAGTATCAAACGCATAAAAGAAATGTATAAATCTTCAGCATCCTTGATTATCGCAGCTTCATGACTGACTGATTATATTGTATTTCGTGTTGTTCATTTTGTGCACTGCTCTTCATGACAGTGGAGAGAATATAATAGATTTATCTTATAATGTGAATTACTCCGGGCTTCACTTGGCTGGCGATATGTAAAATAAAAACCCGCAAACGGTCTTCATTTAAATTTGAGTTGAGAGAATGCGTTGAACATTTCACAATATCGAGCTGGAACAATAAAATATCAAGTGTTTCTTTGTTGCATAATTAAAAATATCATTGGCATTTGACTACATGTTTCACACATTTTTGCCAGAACATGTGTCAGTTCTCGTGTTTATATGTCAGTGTGTGTCTTCGTCCACATATCTGATATCTACACATGCGTTTGAAATCCCATGTTGTCACTACCTGTGTCCTCACTTGACTCTGTGCCCAGGAGGCAGTACCTGAAAGAAACCGACTGATGGTAGGGGAACTTATACTATTTTTTTCATAAAAATCGCGTTGTAGTCAAAATACCACAAAACATATTATCTGCATAAAAACAAACATATACAACAGCTATCTGCAATGTCTTTCATTTTCGAATCATCTGTATTATATATGGTAGTTATTTTCTTTTATTGTGTAGTATTATTATGTTTTGCTTTTATCAAATGTTAGCAAAATGGGACTATTAAAATATCAAATTGTGCACGTGATCAGACGCACAGACAGACATAATGATATTCAGTATATTTAGGCAACAAGCCCATGATACATATAAAATTACCTTTGACAAAACAAACTTGAATGCTTTGTATAGAAGCAACGCATACAAAAAGACTCACGTTTTGTAATAGTTTTCACATTATCTTTGGAAATATAGACATAATAAATGGGGATAAAGGTATGTTTCGCATGTGTCTTATTTTTTGTGGTACATGATATAACAATGTCCAAGGACGAAAAATACCGACGGAGTCTTAGAATCAATTTATCACTCGATAATGATAGGTAAAACAAGTGGCTTAAGCAAATCCAATTGTGCAGTGTACTTGCAGTTGGAAGCGTAGGTATCTGCTCACCTTTATGCTAAATTTGCCGACCGGTTTTGGCAGTTTCTCCAGTCTTATATCTTGTCTCTTTCCTTCCCTCATATTTACCTGGGCGATGAACCTGTTGGACGCAAACAAACAAAGCGCTGCTTATTAATATACAGAGTGTTCTATTCAGTGTCACTGTCAATGTATGATAGGATCCTCTAGTAAAGTTACAAAACAGATCATGACCGCAGTAATGTTTACTGAATGATTATACACACGTGGTACTGAGTCTGGTCATTATGGCGAACATCATATGTCTGGACCTCGTGAAGTGTAGACATCTCCCATTAACCAGTATCGTGTCCTCCTTAGACAGTCCACGCTCCAGCATCAAGAGTCCATATGAGCCACAGAGGAATAAGCTGGACTCTAATAGACATAATTACTATTGTCAATTACGGCCAGGCAACGTTGGTGAAATATTAGACAACATAATCTCATAATCACAGGGTCGTCCAGCATCTATTTCAAGTGAATCAATCAATCAATCAGTTTATTGCATGAAGGCCAGAGGCCCATATACAATAGAAATATGTATGATATGTACAACATATACAACATGCGACACACACGTTACATTGAATCTCTTTATAAGCGCGTGATAAATAAATAGAGCTACATTATATTGTAAAAGGGATGCTTTACATGAAAGTATTGAATACAGGTTTGTAGCATTAATATTTGATTGTAGCCATTGTGGAAAATACAGTTGCCTTAAATCACTATATGCAGGACAAAGAAATAGAAAGTGTAATTCATTCTCTACAGTATTACAAAATGGACAGAACCTTTGTGATTTTATAATAGATGAATATCTTCCACAGATCAAGCGCATTCCTGTGGTACTTGTGTACAATCGTATGCTAGAGCTTGGAATGATATCAACAACATATGCTTACTAAATGGGTGGATTTCAAAGTGGTTTAAGCTCTTGACAGGAGTCGGGATAATGTCTGTCCGATTCTCCCAGTATGGTGTACTCAGGATAATGACAGCGTTACTTCTTTGACAGCTACAATAGACATATCTGAAAGTAACAAATAATTAGGTTGAAACATCTCCCTAAACATAACATCACCACAGGTTTCTTGTTTCAAAATTATGACATCAACGGTTGCGTTATTTTACTAAAAGTGACAACTTAAACAATGATTATATTCCACGATTCAAAATACTGTATATTCTAGAACATTAAGAACCAATGTTACACTAATTATAACGATGGAAATGATGACCATACATAAAGTTTAAAGAACATACAAGCTTTCCTTGTATTTATAGAAGACAGTATGCAAAGTCAGGGTTCCGGGTCGTTTCACCCGGGTCGATCCATCCGGGTTGTTTCATCCCAAATCCAAACTAGGTCAGTACATCCTACATCAGGGGTCGTTTCACCCCTTATCAAGAGCTGTTTCACCCCAACTAACTGAGTATACATGGAGAATGGTATTAGTGCTGTTAATCCTAATTGGGCAAGGTTTATATAACAATCAGGTAAATACTACTGTGCCTGTGTTGAGATGGCCAATAACATTGCCATTTTATGTTCTTGTGCCACTCTCGGGAAGTGAGGCTGATCAAGTGAAAACCCAAGTGCGCCTGGTTCAGAATGGTCTTATATCAAGAGACAATAAACAGAATTTCAAGGAGATCCACGAGAAGCTTCTTCACCTCTTGACACAGTATACAGACAAGGAACTCTCCACAAATTCATTCCTGTCCCCCAGTTACTTGCCTTTGTTACTGAAGGACTTCACCCGTTCCAACACAGCCAATATGAACTGATATAATTATTCAAACAATCTGAATATGCTGTTTCGACGCTATACATAGATTAATATAATACTGAAACCATTTTATAGTTGATAATGATGATATATTTGCTGGGTTTAAACAACCTCTCAATGGGGTGAAAATGTATGCGGTGAAACAACCCGGGTGAGACGACTAGGGGTGAAACTGCTGGGGTGAAAGTGTTTGGGGTGAAATGACCCGTTACCCAAAATCAGCACTGTAAATGTACCAGTGTTCGTCAGCTTCCTACCAGAGAGAGAGAGAGAGAGAGAGAGAGAGAGAGAGAGAGAGAGAGAGAGAGAGAGAGAGAGAGAGAGAGAGAGAGAGAGAGAGAGAGAGAGAGAGAGAGAGAGAGAGAGAGAGAGAGAGAGAGAGAGAGAGAGAGAGAGAGAGAGAGAGAGATTTTTTGTGAGGATATATATGCTGCTACTATTTCATAGCTGATCCTGTCATACAGAATCATGCTTTATTCATCAACTTACCCTTTTGCAGGAATAATCTGTAAATCCAATGGACGAATCACTGGTACAACTCTACGTTTGTTGCCTCGATGTATTGAAATTTGCTTGGCTGTCAAGTACACTTTCACTCCGTTAACACTATCGGATATCATCCTCAGGACACGGGGATCTGGGAAACAGAAATGGATAGGAGAAGTCATTGAAACAATGTTTGATGAACGTGTTTACAGTTCATGCCGTAACGTGAAAACTGTATCATAGTATATATTTCACTCTAAGAAGGCCAGATTCAGGACCATGCTTAATGCAGAGCTCCATCTTCAATGTCACTGAGGTAATGGCTGAAGGAAATTTAGTCAATAGAGCAGCGGCTTTTGGTGTCAAAAATGGAAACACGTCCACCAGAGGTAAAGCAAGATGTGTTTGGTACCGCTTGAAAGCTTGGATTCTCTATCCAAAACCAGTATTGCCAGACTTGAAACTGTCATTTGGGGCGTTTCCATGATAACCATGCTGTTTTTCAGAGAACATTACTGCATTTGAGAATGGAATTTATCTTCACTATGAATAGTGATTTTATCAAGTTTGAGGATACATGTGCTGATCCATGCACAGCTCCACCGAACCGAGTTAAACAGCAAGGTCAAAGTCAAAGGTCAAGGTCACAATAATCTATTTGTTGTTGAACTTGTTAACTGGTGAGGATGATATAAATACAGCACCATGTCTTTACTATCATAAGACACCTCACAGACTCAACTTTCTGACAAAATACATTTCAGACTAGTAATTGTTAGGACACACTGGGGTTACCAAATAAAATTATAATTGTGGTGCCACCTTCAAGGTTACTAGCTGCCTAGGCCCCCCCGCCCTCCCCCCAAATCACTCTATATGGTAACATTTCGTTTTATAAAATAGTGGCTATAAGCTCTGAACCAATGTAGTTCGTCTTCTATGTGTTGACATACCAACAACATATTAGGAAATATTCAACTTTAGACCCAATTTGATACAGAATTGATGTCTGTGATCTTGACCTTTAACGTTGCAGGTGTTTATTCAAGCGTATTTTTCATCCAGGGGAGCAGGATATCATAAACAGCCGTAAACATTCTTGAAAAACATTTTTTAGTTACATAAAGTCATGATATTTAATAATGCATTCTTGATACAATTTAAAATGCATCGTAACCATGGAAACGCCCTGAATCCCGCTTGCCTTAACAATTACTGGTCTGAAATGTACTTTGTCAGAAAACCGGGTCTGTGAGGTGTCTTTTGGTACCAAATACATGGTGCTGTACTTATACCATACTTGGCAGTTAAGAAAGATGCGAGGTAAAACATAGAATTTCAAGAAAGAATGGAAGGACACAGAATTATTGTGACCTTGACCTTGACCTTTGACCTTGACCTTAACGCTTTACAAAGTCCGGTGCTTGGATCAGCACATGCATTCGCTATTGATAGTGAAGACATTTTCTGTTTTATATAGCAGTAATGTTTTCTGAAAAATAGCATGGTTCCTATGGAAATGCCCCAAAATGACATATTGCCTGACACTTTCAAGTCTGGCAATATTGGTTTTGGAAAACTAGAGATTCCAAGCCTTCCAACCATACCAAATACATCCTGTATTCCTCCGGTAGACCGATATCAATTGTTTTGCTTGCGAACTGGAGAAAAAGCCACAGTCTACGTACCACGTGGGCTTGAGTGTTCTTTGCCAGTGGATAAGCACAGTGTAGTTATCAACTTCGCTGTCGCCTTCATCAGACAATCAGTCTTTGTAAAGTAATGAACAGTGAGGACACCTTGCCATCTTAGGTTTCTAACAAACGAAAGCCTTTTGCGGTCAGTGTTCACGTAACCGATATATCCAACTGTGGACATCACAACCAGCGTCGCACCGCGTATTCGGGGCACAAGCCTTGACGGTTTTCTTCTAACTGTCGGAAACAAAGACACGATTTACTTTACTGTCTCGCAGTACATGAATCATAGTATTTGGCCTTCTGTCATGCCCTGTCTGTAATATAAAGCCGTAAATGTAGATTCTGAGTGTCTTCAACCAGTTCCCCGTGGCTTTGTTTCACACGCAACAGTGAAGAGTTATTTGTTTCAGAATCGAAATAATAATTTTTCACAGATTAAACGTTAGCCTCTTTTCGTAGTTACATACCATTGTACCAAAATATAATGACGATTTGGGTATGACTGAGTTTGTTATCAATCAATGTAAGTATAGTAGATTACATTAGCGATCAATTCCCATTGGCACTGAAGGATGAGATGTCCATTACGATAAGCATTTACATGCAGTACACAAGGAATATAACATACCCTTCTTCTTTAGATTGTGGGGCTTCGAACTGGCCTGTTTTAAAGGATGAGGTACATTCCTGTTTTTATCAGGCTTGGTATCCACGTTTTTGGAGTGATCACTGGTTTGTATTTTTGTGGTTCTTTCCTTCGAAACATCAGATGGTCGTCGAACTTTGACAGGACGGCGCACGTTGTTGTTGTTGTCATGAGACTCTGTAATCCCGGGTTTGGACTTTTCGAAGTTTTTTTTGTTCCTCTTTGGAAAGAAATGGTTAACATCCTTAGCTAGTTCCCGGTCACCAGTCTGTAAGAGAATGTCATATGCAGCATATTGAATGGTAGAAATATACACATATAAAGTTAGTGATTCTTCCATAAAGCTGGACTCCAAGCTTAAATAAATTGAGTCCAAAATCACAGTAGTGAAGTTATACAGGAACCAACAATACGAATCAGTAATCCCAAATATAACATATGTTACATATAAAGTTATTCAATATGAGGTGGTCACAACCATTGACATTTTATATCATCAATGAGTTAACTAGCTTGACTGTGAAACTGGGACATTTGACTGAGGGTTTCATTAGTCGTGGAACGTCTGATGACCACAGATGATTGGACAGATCGCCCTTCTGTTCATTACGTCATTTACCATGGAAAGTCGAACCCATTACTTCCAATCCTGATCTAAACACAATCCTCAAAGGCATACTCCCCTTTCAAACGTCCAATGTCAGCTTGGTTCATTCCATCCTATTCTTCCTGCAGGTTGGTTTAGCGTGTTCGGTGGTTTAAGCGCCGTCCACGGATAGCCCAGACGGGTGACAAGTCTTAGTGCTTACTGTGGTAGGGTGGGTATGTTCTCCTGTTGGGGTATACAGTATGCAATACGAGCCCTGTGTGCATTGTCAAAATATGGCGCACACATGGCACCACGTGTGCTTCCAGTATTTACCAAAAAGCATTAACGTTTCCTCAACGACGACTGGGCCAGCTGCTCTGACAACAAAATGCAGTAATGTGACGGCCTGTCAGTCGTTCGTTGACATAGGATTTCATACGTGTAGCCGATTACCAATAGTCTGTCCCCTCACTCAAACACTTGTCGCTGCGCGAAGTATATCTCCGATTTGAGAAAACTTCGACCACTTTTTCGTGAAAACGTCGTTCTGGTGAAGGAGTCTTGTGCATCAGTTGTCGCCCTTCGTCTGTTATCAACGTTTTTCACTGTAAATGTGGTGATTTTAATCTGCTATTTACTGACTGTAAAACGTTGCAGTTCCGTGACAGACTCAGCATATCATAAAACCGTTTAATTGACTTTAAAAAATTAACAACTTTCAGCCAGTTTGTAATCACTGAAATCTAAATCAACACACTGTAAACCTTTTACTTCGACCATGTGCACGTGCTCAACATGAAATCGTCTGCAAGTTATTGGCCTTTGCTCGAAATCCATATGACGTTGTGAATGGAATAATGAGTTTCTTAATCCATTACTCTCAACTTGATTCCGAAATAATATCACTCAAATGGAATGTGTAAGATATTCGTTTCGGTTAAACTCCTACATTTGATAACAGTTCGTTAGAATTTGCCTGTATAAGTTTCTGGAACCACGCATGCGCAGTGTGTGTGTACGCCATGTGGTTATGCCGCCGAAGTTGAATACAGTTGAGAGGAGTTCACTATCGTGTCATGTTGTTAATCCACGCCAGCGCAATACAAAACATGGTGTCAGAAGTGAAGGCTCACGACTACTAGACATCGTTTCACGACCTGTGGAATAGTAGTTCAGTCAAAAAATGTCGGCGAAGATCGAAATTCCCCCGATGGACTTCGTTGAATGTCGGCGAGGCATGGCGGCGATGGCAGCAGACGATGAAGTTGTTGTTGACGGGACCACTGTCAGGCAAGAATGACAAGCAGAAGTGTGCGTATTTTCTATTGTATATTGGACAAACAGGAAGAAATATATTCAATACGTGGACTTTGACCGCGGACGAAACTGACAAAATTGATGTGTTGTTTGCCAAGTTTGAGTAACATTGCGTACCGCAACAAAACACAACAGTTATGAGATTCCGTTTTCATTCAAGAAATCAACAACAGAGCGAAGGTGTAGATCAGTATGTGACCGAACTGAAGAATTTAGCAAGACATTGTGCTTTTGGTGAAATTGAGAATGAGATGATTCGAGATCAGATAGTATGCGGAACGAAGGATAAACAGATTCA